TCTATACTATTTGTTCCGTAATGTCTCCAATTAGGTGTATGTCCAAATGTACGGGCACCAACACCAAGTGTATAGTTCTCCCCCACTGAAGAGATGAATGTGATGTTTAAACTAAGACTTCACTGTCTGATAGATCCAGACAAACCTTCAGCTTTGGTCTGTACTTAGGCGCGAAAAAGGCTACCCTCAAGACAGGACAGAGTCAGGTCGTAAGGGTCTTTCAACCCTGGTCAACCGCAAGCTGAGAAAGCCTCAGCCTCGAATTTTCACGAAGTGAGCTTTGAATTAAGTACCGTTGATATGAATGGATGGTTGTCAACCCATACTAGGGCCACCCCATGCATTGATTTGTTAGTGAAAATTGTCATGTAATGCTGTTCTGACAAGCCCTGTAACCGTCAGAAGTGTCAAATTATTGTCATCCATAGCACGAATGATCAGTGGTTGCTGCTAGTCATTTGTAGTCACGATTCTTAACTGTCAAGCAGCAGTCATCAATGATCACTTTATTTCACTTTATTGTGACGCGCACCGGCAGTGACAACGGCCGGAGCGCTCCATCCTCGCCTGCTATGCGCGCAGGGCATCCATGGTGAAACCAGCAAGGCTCACTTGTTTGAGCGCAGATTGGGACTTCCCTTGTCTCCCCAACTCAGCCATGATTTGCTGATCGATGGCTTGGAGTCTACTAGGGTCCCATGGAAGACGGTAACACATCAACCAACCAGCAATCTGTCAGGTCTTTTCACACCACTAACCACAACATAACCATGATACTTCCAATACGCACGAAGCAAACCAAGGAAAGTGACAATTCTACAACCCCACAACTTGTCTGCTTCCATGGGCAGCTCTGCCTTGCTTGCATACCACTTTTTATGGTACACATACGGGCCTTCATGACCAGTGGAACCAGTGAAATCAGCAAACAACTGAAACCACTTTCAATAAACGGACACACAATCTGGGTCCACCACCCATGAATCGCGGAGACATTTGCCTCACCATAACGTGCCACCATTTTGGATGACCTTTCCCAGCTCAGAACACGTGGTTGATTGTACTCAATTCTTGACGACCCCTGCACCTCTGGTGTCGGACGAGGCTTCCCCGGGTCTTGAGCCGCCACTTTCCAAGCAATCCTCAACGCAACTTGCCAGACCAAACCCAGAAGCCGCTGATGTTTCTGACACGCAGCATCCATAGCCTGCCATGATTTCCAGAATGTTTCGGATCGTCTGAAATTGATGTTCCCTGCAGCTTGATCAACCAGCTGAATGTTTCTAAGGTAGGCCCACTGCTGGAGCCCTGACTCTGCACGCACCGTGGGAGACCACCTTAGAGATTTCAATCTGTCCATCACTTGCGTCTTGCAGCCAATGATGTACCTGTAGCCACAAATCAGCATGCGCAGCATTGGCTTTACTGAGCCACCCTGTAAAAGATGACGCAGCCGCCGCACCACCACTTGACAGCCTGACCATAAATGAACACGCCTGCTTCTAGCAACCGCCCACTTAATGGCTTTGACTGCTGCAGTGATTTCTGCTCTTAGGGATGTCTGGACTAACCCCGAAACCCAACCCCCACATAAGATCTCTGAATCCAACGTGGTGTGTTCAGTTCCTGCTAAACACACTGCCCATGCTGCAAAACGGCGGGTGGGATCTCGTGGAAATGCACATGTGCCATCCAGAAACAAATGGAGGATCTCCTTGCTTGACGGCTGGACCTCCCGTTGAATACCTACTGGTTCGGATGCACACGGATGCTGAAGGGTTCGGAAGTGAGCCTCAACTTCGGCCGGTTGGAGGTGCCACCCATGAAGGCGAGCACAAGCTGGCAGGGCATTGATCTCTGCCATGTCTGCACTTGGGATATCTTTGCGGCACTCTTCGAAGTGCTGGCACTGCCACATACGGTGCTCGAACCCATCCTTGGCTTGGCAATATTTGCACTGACCGGTGACTCCAGGCTGAAACTTTGCCCGGGCTCTCTGAGTGAAAATGGTTCCATCTAACATGCATCGGATGAACACTTGGTCGGATGCACCATATGCACGAAGGGCCGTCTGCACTGCGGCAATGTCTGCTTGCTCGATGTGGACTTCCTTGGATGAGTTCCTGGATGGGGATAGCTGCAAGGCTGAAGCTACCAACTTTGTCAGTGATGAGACCTGCTGGAGAGATCTCCCATCCCAGTCGTTGGATTCGTTCCCACAATGCAGCCACGGGTCCATTTTGTGGGAGCTCACCGGATGCATCTGCAAACAAGCCTAACACTGCCTCCAGGGCTCCTGGATCACGATACTCGCGGGTATCCCGGAATGTCTGTATGATTGCCCAGGCCTCTGGGTCATTCTGCAAATCTTGAGTAGCCAAATGCAACACTGGATTTGAGCCGACACGGTTGGCCCGCAACCCTTTCATAGCTCCGGTCCTCAAGGAACGGTAGTGTTGAGTACCCACTGGCACCACGGACACTGCATAGAGGGCTCGAGGCCATGCCAATGTTTTGAGAGCCAACAGCTTAAGCTTGTACGGGCTCAGACATGCTCTCAAATTGGACCACACCGATTGCATGGTGCGGATGCGCTGCAACAAAGTGCCATTGCTGTACCTACGGCAGTAGTTTTGATGTGCACCTAGTGATCTGGCACCTGGACGGGGCCGTCACGGAACTCTGCTCGAGCAGCGGCATCTAAGCTCCATGCGAATGTTTTGGTGATGTCAAGGTCTAGGTCTGTGATGCTCACGAACTGCTGCACTGCAGCCCACAAGGGACCAAGTTGGGACGGATGCCCAAACTGCACATTCCAATCATCAACAAACGTTTCAAGGACATATGTCTGATCCACCGCCTTTAGCCACAAATCTAACATCCAGTCCACTATTAGCGTGCTGAAAACTGAAAGCCCACACCCTTCTGGAAAACCACAGTTGGACCACTGTGGGGGCCCGAGCGAGCTACGGACACGAAATCGCCTCCCCGGATGAGCAACGAATGATTGCCACGTACATAACATGTCTCGTGGGAACCCCATTTGCAACAATGCAGCCCACAGTGGGAGGCGAGGAAGGCTGTTGAATGCCTTCCGAAGATCAAGCACGATTCCATGGATTTGGACCCCACTGGCATTGAGGTGCTTGGAATGCGATGGTTGCTTACTTGGAAAATTGATGGGGAAAAATATCGCGACACTGGCGGAAGAAAGGCGAAAGCGCGTGCCATCATTTTGGGGTACCATGATCCGTCATATCAGTATCGGGAAACTTCCGCCCCAACTCCCAGTCGTGCCGGGCGCCAGTTATTTTTCCAGATGCGTAGTTGGAAACGGTTTCGTGTGAGCAAAGGGTTCTGGAGCCTTCCTGCAAGGCTCAGACCTTGAAGAAACCATGTGGTGTCGACCACTCCCAGAGATATGTACGGCTATGGGAATCGATGTGGGAACCCCCATGGTGATGAAAAAGGCTGCCTACGGTTTGGTTCAAGCTCCCCTTCAATGGTATCGAAGTGTTTGTAGTTTTATGCAGTCTATTGGTTACCATCGGTTGAAAACGGAACCATGTTGTTGGATTTATGTCCATGAAGGTTGTGTCAAATCTACTTGTCATGCCCATGTTGATGATTTTATGGTTGGAGGTGCTGATGGTTGTTTGGTTCACCAACATTTGATGACTCAGTTGAAACAGAAATACCAATGGGGAACCTGGGAACACACGGAATTTGTCCAATGTGGGATACAAGTGCGCCAATTGCCGGATTACAGCATTGAGATTGACCAACAACAGTTTTTGGAGGACCTGGAAGAAATCAATCTTAGTAGAGACAGATCGAGAACACCTGACCTTCCTACCACGGAACATGAGAAGAAACAGATGAGAGCTGTTTTGGGAGGGGCTTCATGGGTTTGTGGCCAAACCATGTTTCCTTATTCTGTTGATGTTGGAATGCTTCTGACGACTGTCCCCAAAAGTACGGTTGCTGATGTTTTGACTACCAACCAGCTTGTTAGAAATCTCAAAAAGTGGAAAACCAACAAAATCAAAATCCATGCTTTTCATCCGGAAGATGAAATTGAACTGGTGGCATGGGCGGATGCCGCACATGCAAACAGACCCAATGGATCAGATAGTACCCTAGGTGTGTTCATTGGAACCAGCACCAAAGCGCTCCGAGAGGGCAGGGAGGAGAACGTGACTCCAATCTTTTGGAGATCCAGTAAGGCAGAACGAACCTGCCGATCGCCCGCATGTGCTGAAGCTTTGGCTTGCATTGACGCCGAGGACGAACTATTGTGCCTAAGGGTTTTATGGGCTGAAATGTTGGGATCTAGTTTGTCAAACTCTCACCCTGATGATGTCGCTAGGAAAATCCCTTCACTCTTGATCACTGATGCTAAGAACCTGTTTGATAAGGTGTTACGACCTATTCCCACGGTTAAAGGAGCCGAGAAAAGAAACAGTGTTGAGTGCATCGCTTTCAGAGAACACCTTGACCACACAGATACTCCTCTCAGGTGGGTACATGGGGATGCGATGATAGCGAATAGCTTGACTAAATGCCATGAGAAAGGTCAGATGATGAGATATATTCAGATGGGATATCGCTGGAAGATAATATATGATGAAACCATGATGAGCGCCTAACAAAGGAAATCCCAAGGTATTGAACCCATGACTGAAGGCAAGACCCACAGGAGACGACTCCAAGAACTTCTCGCGCACACTGGACATACAAAGGAGGAAGGAGAAACCTGACCCTGTGTGTTGGTGGCGGTTGTGCGGGGTGTGTGTTTGTTTGTGTGGTGTGGTTTTGGTGTTGTCCTCTTGGTGTTGTTGTTGTTTTGGTTATCAAAGGCACAGCTTTGGACATGCAACGCAAAACCATGAACTCACAGCACATGTTGTAGATGCGGACGATGTGTCATTTCTGTGACGTTGCGCTTCTGACATTTGTTCCAAAAACAAAATGAATGAAATTCTGTTTGAGGTCTGTACCTTCTTCAAATAGTCCTGTCAACAGCGTGTTTTCAAACAAAAACCCCGGCAAAAAAAACAGAATGGCAATGAGATAGCTGGAATCAAAACATGCCCCGCGCACGATGTTTGAAGGCGCAGGGTCAATCTGGAAAGCGTTGCCGACAAACTTCAAGTCGTCATTGTCGTCCTGCAAGACAGTGCCATCCTGCAAGGCCCCTCCCCGTGTGCAACTGGCTACGAAAAACAAAAGGGCATAGCAAAGGAACACGGGCCTGGCCGAAAATCAGAAACAAAGTCTTTAGCTTCAAAACACCTGTATCAAATTGAGAAATGTTGTCGAAAAATTGCTTTTAGCCTGTATGTACTCCCCCAAATCTTGAAACTTACCAAGAGTTCTCCGCAGCTATTCTTCTTAACTTAAGCAGCAAAGTCAGAGGAACACCATTGTTTTGCTTTAGCTTTAGAGGCATTGCGATGAAACAAAAGAATTCCATAGAAGGACTCAAACAAAATGAACGACTTTTGAAGTCTTCTGACATTGCGGTAAAAGGTTCATGAAACTGAATGTCTACCCAGGTCTACCCAAAACCAACAGAGTAGCTCTCGACAGCGGTCCTTCTGCAATTGCCTCACCCAAACGACTTTGGTTCCAAAGGCTTGGTCTAAACCTTAGGAGTGAATCTACAAAAACCAAAGGGAGACAAGGCCTTGAAAGGTACGTTCACATTCAACTTGATCTAATTCAAATGCAATCCATGTATGAAAAACTCTGAAATCTCCAAACTACGATTAGTATAACAAAACTTGCAACCGCAAACGACGGCATGTTTGCCGAGGAACGTGGTGGGTTGATGTGCGACATCTTCTGGATGCAGCGGATTCGATCATTCCTTTCCAACGCACGTGCTACGAGGTCGCACTCGACATAGTACTCCACCAAATCTGTACCCTCAGCGGCACCTCTCACAAAAGTGACTTCCGAACACAGTAAGGGAATGATTCTACACACTCATTTGGAATTCTTCGAAGCGAGCATAAAAAGCATAGACGTAGTTGAAAACATGCGAAACGCATCGAAACGCATGATCTGCTTCGGTTGTTTTGGGCCCCAGGCCTCGGTACAGAACGTGGTAACCAGTGTGCGCGATGTTTGGCATCAAACCGATGATCTCCACACCATCAGCCCTTGTATTCCTGACTCGTTCACGCACAGTCTCTACACTTCCGATCGTGAGGAGTGCCTTGTGGTCAGCATTGAAGTAGTTTGTCAGGTTTTCATTGTCAAAGCGATTGCGATGCTCATTGTGGCTTTGTTCGCCTCTTTTTGCCATGATGCATTCCAAGCTGAAAGCTGTCTGCTCAATCTTCACAAGCACATCAACTTTGCCATTGCGTGGGTTCAAAGGTGCAAAAGCTTTATACCCCAATCTCTGCAGAGCATGTGTGATGGCACCAGTGTATTGATCTTCATACGGCAAGTCTGACACAGAAAGGGAGGAATTCGATTCAAGGTCTACAGCAAAGGAGACCACCTGCGCAAAAGTCAGGTATGGCATTGCGCGAATCAACAAATCCATACAATTGACGGGCACAAAGTGTTCATCCTTCACCTTCACTTTCAATCCACGAAAGCTCTCTAATTGATGCCTGTAGTAGGAGGCCAGAATTGGATTGGCAACAGCATACGTGGCATCTGGTTTTGCCCAGTCCAGCTGATGGAACTCAGCATTACCTTCCGTGACAGGGATGACAAATCCCTGGATGGTCAACTCACGCCGCATCGACAAATCAGAAAGATTACCTTGACCTTCACAGAGAAGTCGAATGAATTCTTTTGGCACTACGTCAAGGTCACTGTAATCTCCATTCACCTTCACTCCTCGTGATTCAGCAAGTGCACCCAAGATCGTGCCAGTTGCCCAACTTCCCTGCCCAATGCTGTCTCGAACTTTTGCGACTGTTTGACTAAATGCCCAAGAAGTTCCACCTTGCATCTTTTTGACCCACATCATAGCAGCAACAAAAATTGATCTGTGGCCGCCGCAAAATTTGAGAAAGAAAGCCACACTTTCAGTGCACAGTTGCACATCTGCCTCTTTCAACTCTGTGACAAGATCATCAAGAGCATCTGTTTCAGGGACAGGAGGAGTCCAAAAGAACTTCTGTTTGATCTCGGAAGGCGTGACGTCGCCGCTCCTCTTTCCCTCCCCTGATGCCGAAAACAAGAGCAACTTGGGGTGTCTTGCACTCTTGAAGAGAGATTCGCAAAGTCGTGGTAACGAAAAAATTGTATGCGCTTCATCCAACACCAAAATGAGTTTGTTGTCAGCTGCTAACTGGAGAGCAGTTTGCAAGCAAAGTAAAGGCGATGTCTCTTGCAGTTTTGCAGTTCCTGTTGCGCTACGGACTGCCTCATTGATGTTTGCAATCCATGTCTCTTGTGCAGCGCTGGCGAAGGGAACGCAAACAAATGTCTCTGGGAACTGCCGTGCCAAATGAATCGCCATGGTGCTTTTGCCCACGGCAACACCTCCACGAACGAACACAAACTCCTGTTCTTCAAACAAATCCTCTATCTTCTGTCCATAACCTTCCAAGGGAATGAAGACGTGTTCTTCAGGATTTGCGGGACTTGTCAACGGAGGCAACTGTCGTTTCTTGGGTTCAGCTGCCAACCGTGTTTGTGCAAGCTGCCTTGCATTCACGAGTGCCCCTGGTACGAATGCTTGCAGCAGGCATTCTATGTACCAAACGCTGAACAGCTGCAGAAGCGACTTCCCCAGTTTTCGACTCATTGACGAAGCCATCGCTACAAATGAGTCTACCTCTCTACCTCTACCTCACATATTCAAACTATTCAAACTATGAACTCATTTCGATCAATTTACGCTGCACAAGACCACAAACCAGTCAGGCAAACATGCTTCCAACAGCAAAACCTTTCAAATGATTCTGGATGCGACTCCAAAAATTTCACAAACATGTCAAAGAACGAGTGATGAGCCAGACGACTAAAGGCAAGGTTTAGCAAGCGAAAACTGCATGCTGCCTGCACATGCAGAGCATTCCAATCAAAAGCGTTTCGCAGAGAAAAGTTCAGCCCCGTCTTTTCTCGTAGCATTGAAGTCTCAGAGCTGAATCGGCCTCGATATGCGGAAGGATCGGACAGGGAAAATTCAAGGTCTTCAGTTTTGCAAAAACCTTCTCAAAGACAGCCGGTTTCAGTTTGCTTTATCTTCTAAGGGTTTTCCGAAGCATTTCTTTGCTGCCCTCACTAAGTTCATCTTTTCCAAGCTGAAGAAAGAAATTGTCAGGAAAATTATGTAAAGTTGCTGTTCAAAGTTGTCACGTGGGTTTCATACATTTGGTGAAACTGTCCACTGCTCATGGCATGCTCACACTCAATGGGTCAGTGCACGGAAAAGGTTGGAATGAAACCGCAAGGAAGCACAGTGGACATGCACAGGACGCTTTGCGAATACGGGCACTCTGCTCAATCTTTGCAAAATCGGTTTGAGGTCAGCACCTTCTTTAAATAGGCCTGAACACATTCAAATTGAGATACACCGCATCTTGTCAACGTTCAAATTAAGAACAAGGCACGGGTTATCAAAAATAGACTCAAAAGACATGTCAGGAGTACAATACTTTGGGGCACGGGGTTACTTGGGAAAGCATTACCCACAAAGCCACTGCTGTCCTGCGAGTTCAACTGCGTACAAAATCGGCCCCTAAATGAAGAGCATGCAGAAAAACAACATTGAGACATTGCATGACATTGCATGATATCATGTTGGGACATTTGGAACGATATCTGAAGATGGACTCCTTCACAGACTTTAGACACTCCGCAAGCGGCGCTCCGTTCAACGAGAAACGGAACCCTCCTGTTTTTGCATCTTGGCATCTTCGATCACCTCACTGCGATAGCATCACTTCCACAGACCCCGTGAGCCGAACCCAAAGTCAGATCGAACTGCGCCAAGCTCTGCGTGAGTCAAATGCGCACAGCTCTGCTGCGAAAAGCCAAGACTTTCTGGAGAAATGCAGAATCACTTGGCTTTCTGTCTCGTAACGAGTGTCTCATCACTCCTGACGACTCGTGGTGTTCTTGGCGTCTCTCGACACTCGTCTCTTCTCTCGTTGGCTTTGTCTCCTACCTTCCAGTCCTTCCAGTTCTTGCCATGTCCTCTCTTTTCATTTCAGCTCCACGCTCTCGTTCCACTTAAGTTCCGCTTTCCATTTCCTTAACTCCGAACCAAAAGTTCGCTCTAGGGAAGCCCGCGGAAAAGGGTTCTCCCCCACTGCAAAGGTCTTTCCGCTCCCTGCGCCCATTTTTTCCAAGTTGTGAAGCGCAACTCCGGAACTGTTTGACTTCAAAATCTTCTACGGTTTTCGACTTGGTTTTTGAACCTTTCCCAGGCCATGTGATTGTGGCAGCGCGGGATTCAATCCACAAACCGTGAACAGGGTTGAAAAGAGCTGGCTGCCAACAGGGCACTGCGCAACCTACCCAAAAACCTTCAACCAAACCTGAAAGCTGCGCGCAAAAATCTCGGAACGTATCTTATCTGCAGATCTGGAGAATGTGAAGTTGTGTTGCAACTAGTTTGTAACCAAACTGGTGGTTTTCTGCCCAGATGGTTTTGCCTGACCCGTCTGGCTTTGGGATGATTGCCCCCAATGCTCGTGAGACAGCTGATAAACTGATCGACTGTGCCTGGAAGCTGCTCCGGAACTTCCCCTACCAACTGCGAACCTGCTGGAACCTGTACCAATGACTCAACATCAAACCTCACAATCCCAAAATAAACCATCTCAGCTGTGGTTGAAGAGTTGGGCTGCGCCAGCCCTAGCTGCGCAAAAGTTATGCTGCGCCAGCCCTAGCTGTAGAAGAAAACGAAACAACTAGAGATAGGCAAGTATGCCTGAGAAACCTAGACAGAGCAACATGGAGGATAAATCAAGCAGGAAATCATTAACCATTAAGGAAAAACCGCCCTTCAATGCTGGCTCACAGGTTCCGTTTGTTTGGTTGCAAAAAAAGAAAGAATTAGAGATAGTTTTGAGACATGAGTAATGCAAATAGCTCGCTTTTTTTTAAAGTGAAATCATTAAAACAAAATCTGTGTAAACAGGCGATTAGCCTACTTAGACCGCAATACGCGCCTATTTTGCTTGAGCCAAAGTCAGGTGTATGTGAGACATGAATACGATGTACAACTGTGAAACCACAAAATCATTAAGAAAAAACCGCGCCCTCAATGCTGGCGGGGGGTTCGCGTGTTCGTGTTCGCAGGTGTGGGGTTCTCTGGTGAATAGACGGCCAGTGAAAACATAAGAGGCGCAACTCTAGTTGTGAGAGCACTGCAGCTTTGGACTCGGACATTTCAATCTGGACCCAAAACTGGCACCTGGACTTGAACCTGCAAGGAACCTGTGAGCCATTGAGGGCGCGTTTTTGCCTTTATGTTTGTGGGTTTATGCTTTGTTAGGGCTTGTTGTTTGTGCTCTAATGTAAGTAATCCAATTCTTTTTATTGATATCATCTTGTTTCTCATTTTTCAGGTTACAAAGAGATTATTAATAAATGCGGACAGGTTCCTTTTGACCTGAAAGGGGTCTGCAGTCGGTTGGATGGAGTGGCTTCAGTTTCTCACTCCTCCTTTGGCATTGGTAGCCAAATGAACATGTTGGATCCTATGCCAACTTAGAATGGCAGGCTGGCTGAGTCCATGAAAGGAAAGTGCACATCCATCATGTTATATATCTCTAGTTTCCTCTCATGGTTTCCCTCACGGTCAGCCTTCGCCCACTCATCCTGTAATTTCAGCATGTGTTGCTTTGCACTGAGACCTGATCGTGCCTCTGGGCCATCAAACTCCGCTAGAGCGTTAAACTCATCTTTCGTGATCCAGGAACTTGTTGCCTGGTTCACGGTTGGATCTTCGATCCCTGACTCCGGAACTGGTAGGTCTTCTTCTGCCCACTCCACTTGCTCTGGCGGCTCAGTCACCTCCATCGCTGTCGTAGGCACGTCTTCCTCACTCTCAGGCTCACGAGTCTCGATGAATCGGACAGGAATCTCGACCACTTCACCACTGTCGAGACGAACGGTCACTGTCTCTTCACCCTCCATGGCCTCATCCTCGGTGTTCCTGTAAGGCCTCAAGTCGATAGGCCCATCATCCTTCTCACAAGCTTCCTTGTATGCCTTGATTTGGGCATGGAGTCTTCTCCAGTCAAAATCCCTGTTTGAACGTTGAATGTAGTCCCAATGCTTCCAATCCTCTTCTTTGACATCTTCACTGTCGACATATCCAGAAGCTTTCACCAATCCTCGATGAATCCTCTCGATGTAGCCCTTCATTGACTTCACCTCTTCTCGCGTGCCTTGCACATAGGCTCTTGTTGAGACGCCGTTCACATAGGCGCTGTCTTTTGCATCTGCAATCTTCACCTTCAGCTCTTCCACCATCTCCATAGCCACCATACAGCCCATGCGAGTCCGGCAATCATCAACATCAGCATTGCGATGAAGATCATAGTGCCATAGCTTCTCGTCGTAGCTTCCTCCACCACCTCTGACCTCTCTGCAGTCACCTGCTCAAGATCCCCGAAGAGGAGGATCCGGTTCAACAGCTTAGCCAACTTGTTGATCTTGATGCCGTTCACCTTGCTCTCTTCCAATCTGGCGAGCTCCTCCTCTCCAATTCTCTCGTCAGCGCTGCTTCTGGTGTTGCACCAGTAGAGGATCAGAGTGATTCTGGATCTCGATAGCGGCTTCGTACCCAGGTCGGCCACATTGTAGGTGGTTCCCACAGCTTTGACTTGCAGCTCCTCCTGCGCCACTAAATCTTGGATCCATAGCAATTTGCCAGCTATGTGACGTAGTTTGCCTGGTCCTCGTCGGTGACAAAGGTGTAGTGCAGCCGAGTTATCCACGAGGCACTCATGTCTCACCGTCTCCTCCATCAGAATTCTAGGCACCTCTTCAGGTAGATACCATCTGCGGCTGAACTCACCAAGGCATTCAATTCTGCCTCTGCTGACGACAATGCCACACTCTTCTGGCCGCGAGAGCTGCTGAAGATCATCATCCCATTCAGCATGTGGATGGCCGCGGATGTTGACCTCCTGTGGCTCTTCGATCCTGACCAATCACTATCACTGAAGGTCTCTAGCAACCACCTCGACTCCACTGTGCGGCTTACCAATCCATGTCCTGGCTCAACCACTTCAAGCACGCTATACTGACCCATTGTACCCTTGAGGTACCCAACAAGTTTTCCCAGCTTCTTCAAACTGCTGGTAGTAGGGCGCGACATCGTTGAAGCCAGTTCTTTGATGGTGTAGGAAACATCGGGCCGCTCCTGTGAAAGATATATTCCACATCCAACCAAGGAACGATAGAGGCTTGCCAACTCCGGCTTGAGTTCAACTGATCCATCAGGCTCGAGCACCTCCTGGCCGCAAGGGAGTTTCTGGCTCTTCACTCTTCCCATCTGCTCCTCGTATGCCTCGACCATCTGCTCGGCATACTTACCAGGCATCACTTTCAGCCCTTTCTCCATCTCCACGTATGTCCTCCGCAGGAATTGGAAGGAACTGTTCATGCCTGTCAGATGCTGTTCTGCTATCTCGAAGCTCTGCCTCAAGTCTGGGATGAACTTGTTCACCACATAGTCATGTTCTCCAACGAACATCACATCATCGACGTGGATCAACAACATCATCTTTTGTCCACAACGTCCCAGACAGGGGTTGATCTGCGAGAAGATGAATCCTCTTTCTCCCAACCAGTTGGTCAAATACTCGAACCACGCCTTGGCACCGATTCGTTGCCCTGGGAGATTTCTTTTG